ATGCAAGGTAACCCTTAACTATAGTAAGCTGCCTCTTATTGTATACCAAACCCAGTTTCAGACTCTTAGATGTCAATGTCAAACAGCAGAGCCTACTTTGCATAAATAGGCATATAGGATGAATTAACATCTAGAGGCACTTATTTCTGGCCCTTGGGTGTAAAGCAGCCTAGATGACTACCTTACTTAAACATCTAAAATTAAGCACGTCACATCCAAGTAGCCAACAGAGCAGTAGAGTTGCTAGCATGCTGAATGTCCTTTTCTACAGCTTGCTTCCTTCCATGAATGTGTGCCTTCATACCTGCTAACAACTTCTTTACTGGGTTTGTTTTAACTCAAATCATTGTAGCCACCCATGGCATAGCCCTCCAACAGTGCATGACTCGCTCTACAGAGCACCAAAGCAACAGCACTGGGCTAGGAACTTTGGAGAACTTGCTATGAGAGAAAATGCTCATGTAATGGTACTTGGGATGTTCTGACTCAGACTAAAATTAGCTGGATATTTCTTTTGCCACCCACACTTGTCTCCTGATCCTCCTAGAAATTATTGCTCTCCATAATCAGATAAAATGATGCATTGTGAAACAACTGCTACACAGGCAGAAATTAAAATTCAGTATGCCAAGGAAAGCTAACAGTTAACACCAACTTTCCTTACAAGATTAAGTTGTAATCACAAACTGGTGAGCCACCTTGGCCAGAGGTTGGTACATCTGAAGAGACAGATGTGGACAGAATCATCCACACCCGCTTGATTTCTGCATGAGGTTCTGCATCAGAACCACAAACACTAACACCATGGAAAAAATGGTGATGTGAATCAGCCTAAAGCACACATCCAAAAGAATTATACTAATTAAAATACGGCAGCCAAATGACAATGCAGCAGATGATAATCTCAATACAGTGGCACAACCTCCTAGCGTGACATTCCTACCAGCAGGCTGGTAAAACATGTGTATTTACTGTCATTATTTCAAATAATTTTTTTGAGTAGAGAAAGCAAAAAAATCTACATTGCAAACAGAAGTATTTCTATGTAGAACAAGAGTATATTTTAACCCTTTGGATGATTAAGAAATTGTCTTTTAAAGTGCATATTTAATACTTCAAGGCTTATATCAACTTTTACCATTGATCAGATATCTAACCCACAATTTGACCCTGGATAGTAAGTAACTAATATAAAAAACCACTACTTTCATTTTAAAAAATCAAAGAATTTACTGTTCAGCTACAATAATTATTTCTTTGAAACAATGCCTGTATGTTCTGATTTTCACTAACACTGACAATCGTTTACTAGAACTATTAAAAAGATTTTTTCACTTTGTTTAACCCACCTAAGTTACTTCCAAAGAGGCACAAATAATATACCAACATCAGCACTAGAAACTGCTGCAAAGTAGGTCCAAAACCACAAGGCTATAAATACAACATAGACAGCAAATCTCATCTACAGTTAAATATGCATACGTCAGATATATGAACTTAAAAAGTGGTTTGACATATAGTTAAGGTTCAGTTCACTTACTTAAGAGTTGACTGTCTGTCTCCAGCATTATTATAGAACAGCCTGTAGTGTGATGGAATTTAATTATGGCGGGCAAAAGCGTCTGGCACCACTGGTCATACACAGGATGCAATACAGCTATTTAGGTACTACATCTTTACTCAATATGCTATCCTCCCTCACAGAAAATGAACAGACATACGTCCTAGCAAAAGCAACTCTTAGCAGCACTTCAGGTGACAGACACATGCCTAGAAGTGTAAAAACTTTATCTACTGCCATTTCCACGGAGGACGGCCATCAGGATCCTTTGAATGACAGATTTAGACCCCTTTGTCTTCAAGTGAGGACAAAGACTACACTTTTACAGAAGAATTCTCAAAGCATTGGAACTGACAAATTTAAGAAACTGATTAAGTGTACTACAAAGAGTACCATGAAGTATCAGAATCCTAAAGATTTCAGAGACCAGAAAGTTGCATTGTCCTGCAAAACCTCACAGTGCTGACAATCAGTGTGTATGAAACACTATCAATTAGAATGCTTAAAAACTACTCTTGCTGCAACTACTGTTGCATGCAAATAACTACAGATTAAAATTAATTACAAAGGCTTAGAGGAAAAAGTTGAGTAGAGAACTTGAAATGAATTTTCTTTTTTCTCCATTATTGTTTGACAATCTACACCTTAAGCTGGAACGTACCACCATAGCAAGGAAAATTTCTTTACCCATCCTTGTCTGGTGACAACAAATACAGCTGTTCATTGCAGTGCAGTGAAAAAAAATAATCTGACAAATTATTTATTTATTTACCAAATCTGTCTTTAATTTAGTTGAGTTTCCCCATTTAACTCAAAATAGACACTCCAAATCAGGAACAGGAGAAATACGAATTAAAGGGTAACACCATTTCTTTCTGCAGATGAATCAGCTCCAGAGGTTTGCTGAAGGTTTGCTGAACTCAGTGACCTTGAACTTGGCAAAAAGGGAAACTTAATATCCTTGAAATTGAAATGGAGATGACGCATTTATGGTTCAATCTCCTACTCAGAATTAGTCAACAGAGAGGTGTTCACCCCTGCAGAACACCTCTATATTGTCAAGGGCCTCTGGAGATCATTGGTCGCACCTTTTGAAGAACACAAGACCTCAGAGGAAATGACCCAGGACCCTGAGAAGCCACATCCTCCAAAGTGATTCCGCCACTTCAATGGGCAAGCTTTTTATGGTTACCTCTTCTAATAGTGAAGTAGACTTTTCCTACAGCCACACAATTCTCCCCTAAGTACCTCATTCCCACACCTTCCTACCCTGGCACCATCATCCCTTGCAAACAGTACACTTCCATCTTTTTTTGTAAGTAGTTTACCATCCACAGAAGATTGTGATTAGACCCCTCCTTCTCTAAGCTGAAGACATCCCATGTCTTTAGCTCTTTTCAAGTGCCAGTGGGGCTAAGGTTAGCTATTTGTGTTATTGCTCTAGTACATCTGCATGCTGGTCATTTTACAGCCTATACACAGTTAGGCACAGGATATGCCTAGATTTCCCCTTGCTGTCACCTAAAATAAATGAGAAAGTAGACTGAAACACCAGCTAATTTTAAATGAACATATGATCTACAGCTCTGCAATCAAAATTTCACAAAATTACAGAATAGCCGGGGTTGGAAAGAACCTCTGAAGATCCTCTCATACAATCCCCTTCTCCTAATGCAGATTTACCCAGAGCAGTTTCTATAGGATTGTGTCCAGGTAGATTTTGATTATCTCCAAGGAAGAAAACTCCACAACCTCTTTGGGCAGTCTGTTTCAGTGATCAGCTGTTGGGGAATGGTTGTTGGAACAAGGCCATTATTCTATGGAATACCTGTTCCAAAAAACCTCTGTCTAAGACCCCAGAATCAGGCTTGTGTCTGACCTGGAAACAGAGCTTGGGAAACAGTCTCTATTTCAAGGTCTGTGAAACTGCATTGTACAAGGTCTGGGAATGAGATAATAAGGACAGGCATAGCCTCAAAGATACGCTCTGTCCTTGGAAAACATGACTTAGAGATGACAAACTTGGGTGGAAGAACTTAGCTACATCTGTAACCCCACGTAAGAGAAATAAAACAAAGACCTTTGTAAATTAACCAATTAGAGCTTACTGCTGACTATGCTTGTGGAATACCCTATATAAGCTAAGTTATCTTTGAATAAAGTGGGAGCTTGCTTATAAATCATATTGATTTGGTGCTGGTCTTCTCCACCGCCCACATCAATCAGCCCAGTGTGAGTTTTTTCTCATAGAGATGGACCTTCCTGAGTTTCTGTCTGCTGCCCTTTGCCCTGTCACAGGACCACTTAATGACTCTGGCTCCATCCTCTCACCACCTACCCTTTAACAGACTTGAATGCATTGGCAAGACCCTCTCTCAGTCATGTCTTCTCAAGGCTGAACAGGCCCAGCTTACCCAACCTTTCCTCACAGGACAGACACTTCAGCCCCTTAATCATCTCCTAAACCCTCTGCTGGCCTCTCTGCAGTAGCTCAATTTCTAAATTTTCAGTATAAAGTTGTCTTACTTCACACACAGCTCAGCACTAATCTGTTCTAGTCCTTACATGTTTATGCCAGGTGTCTGTGCTCTCAACCAAAATAAAGCAGGATGACCCGATCAAAGTCATGGAGCATTCTGCACAGGATGACTCGTCAGACATTATAAAGTGGGAAGAATCTCACTATTTTATTGGCTGAATGGTATTATCATACCATCTACTTGTCTCCAATATTTTAGCAAGTGCAGCTTGATAATCACATTACTGGTATTCTTACACTTACGGTGTAAGACCATCAAATAAGTACATTCTGAAGCCATTAGAGGAGCAAATGTCCCTCCAATTCAAACTGAGGAACGTATTTTACTAGAAGTTTCTCTTTCATACTAGGTAATGAAGACTTAAAAATATTTGTTACATGAAGAGAAGTCTTCTGCAAACTGAAGTAAAGCTTAGGTGATTTATTTTTAAATGGCTTCCAGGGCAAATTAAGAGATTGAAGCACTGGATTTAAAACAGATTAGAAGGATCAACAAGTCTTCCGTCGTGGATGCCAAGCAGTTTCCGCGAGCAGTGACTACACCCCTACATTAACACATATTTTTTGGGAGCCGTCTGCTGGTGGGACAGATTTACAGTAATGTTTTTCCTCCCGGCCGCGCGAGACGGCAGCGCACCGGGAGCGGCTTCCCGTCACCGCGACCGCCCGACGGGAGGGGAGCGCGGCCGGGCCCGGGACGGGCCGGGCAGACACAGCGGCGCCCGTCCCGCCTCCCGCCGGAGGAGCCCGGCCTGCTGCTACCTGCTGGTCTCCAAGGACGAGTAGCGCTCGGGCAGGATCTGGAGGCAGCGCTGAAAGAAACGCACGTGCCGCTCCCGCAGGAAGTCCAGCCGCTCCGGCTCCGCCGGGCACGGTGCCGTGGCCGCCATCTCCATCTCGCCGCTGCTGCGCGCGCCCGGCGCGCCCGGATCGCGTCACCCGCCCCGGGGCGGGGAAACGGGACGGGGACGCAGCCGGGAAAGGAGAGGAAAAGGGTAAGGGTAAGGGTAAGGGTAAGGGTAAGGGTAAGGGTAAGGGTAAGGGTGAGGGTGAGGGTGAGGGTGAGGGTGAGGGTGAGGGTGAGGGTGAGGGTGAGGGTGAGGGTGAGGGTGCGGGGGAGGGGGAGGGGGAGGGGGTGGGTAAGGGTAAGGGGGAGGGGAGGGAAAAGGGAAGAGGCGCTTCAGTTCACTGCGGCGGGAGCCAGGCTGGTGACCCCACGCTTACTGAGCCGCCACAACCAGCTGCGGGGACAACGCGCTTTTAATGCCAAGGGACATCACAGCTGGCCGGTGCGACAACCGGCGTGTCAAACCCGACACTCGCAAAACACGCAGGGAATACACGCCACGGGTCAAGCCAGCTCTGTGCCGGGAAGTGCTGGCTGCTGCTTCATACTGCGGCAGGGACAGGCTGGTGCGCAGCTACGACCCTCCTCTGCAGGCTGGGACAGCTCTGGCAAGAAAACAAAAAAGCTTAAAGTATAAAAGTGCGCTTGTGTCATGTTGCACGTCCATCGGCTCCCTCCTCACCTCCGAGAAACGCGCAGCAGCGGTTCTGCAGCTGCTGGTGCCATCTCTTGCCTGCGTTCCTCCCAGCCCTTGGAAGGTCGGTTCAACGTGGATCCGTCTTTGGTGACCTGAACCTCGACCTCAGAGTGAAACAAACAACCAAAAATCAGCCTTTTTCATTCATCACAAAAGGCGCTCATTGCTTCTTCACCATAGAAGATAGTGACACCGCTTGCCGTCATTAAATTTTAATAATTTAATAATAGAAAAGGTTAAACTGTTAAACCCAGTGTATGCAAGACAGTTCTGGGAGACAGCCCCACGTATTTAGCTAATGGTAGGAAACTATTTGAAAAAATTAAATCCACCACCCACATTGGAACTCACTTTTACAGGCCTTACCCAGTGAAATACTACTTTGAGAGACATAAATTCTAGGGATTTTTCCCTGTTTTTTTTTTAAACAGGAACAACTATGCCTGCTGCAATTTTTTCTGCTGATAACAGGCATGACTTTTTGATTTCCTTTATCAACCATTTAGATAATTAAAAACAATTTTAGATAAATGAGAAAAAAGTCTGCTTAAACCACCAAGCTGCATACATCTCTGGTTAAAACAAAGAAAAAAGTTACCTTCTCTCTTAACTTTGCCAATCTTTTTTTTCTTTCTTGTTTGTCTATCTCTTTAGCATGTTTCTGTAAAATGCTTAGCTCCAGTTTATGCAGATCCTGAAACATAATGAGTGGAAAAGAAAATTTTTCTTTGGAAGTAAAACAAATTATATAAAACTATACATGCAGCTTTTTCACAGCTTTTTTTCTTTGTTTTGTTTATCTGTGGTTGTTTTTTTGTTTGTTTTTGTTTTGAAATTATTGTGATATTAAAGAATAAGGTTTCACTAGGTGAAATATGATATAGCTTGTCCTGCACAAACAAATTCTGGTTACATTACATGGCTTGGAAATAAAAAAGTAGTAGTTCAAACTCTGTTTATAAAACTTTAGTATGAATGCTGACAATAATATCAATTCTCCAGTAATTGCATTTACATTGATATGGGGTCTGACTTTGCCTAACAGGTACTGAAACCCGCAGGATATTCAAACCCTTTCCACCTCCCATCTGAATAAAATACTCAAGTCCTCTGAAGTCTTCTTAGGCAACATAGCCCAAGAAGTTTTTCGCAAAAAAATTATTTACTGTAGAAATAAAACCACTTCTATATGGATAAAGAAATATGAGCTTGAGTAATCCTGTAGGATTTAGATATTGAAGAAAAGGAGCATCTTTGTCTAAAATCAAGTTTCATACTGTTTATCTGAAATAGAGGCTGTTATTTGTAAGGAATAAATAATAGATTTAGATGAATGATACTTGGAATTTAAAATCTAACTGATTATATTGTAGTAGGACGTATCAAATTTTAAACAACAATGTGCAAAAATGGAGGTTAAATTACACACATGTTCTTGAAACTTAGAAATTTCTTCTGCAGCAATTTTCTTCCTTCCTTCCTTTTCAGCTGCCTCTTTCTTCTCATTTTCAAGCTTTTCAAGTTCCTCCTTTACTGTTTTTTGCAAGGTATTCCTTTCCAACAGTAACTTCACGTGGCTTTGGCGCTCCATTTGCTGCTTTTTTGTTTTCTCTTCTAGTTTGAGTTGTGATGCTTGATCTATTGCATATGCTACTACTTTCTGCTTCTTCCAGGCTTGTTTTCTTTTTCTTTCTTCTTCTGCTTTTTGCTTTTGAGCTTCTTCATGCTGTAGCCATCTTTCCTTGAGCATTTTTTCTGATTTCTCTTTCTCCTGAAAGTTTCTTTCTTTTTCTTGCTGCTGCTTTTCTTTCCACTTTTTAACTGACTGCAAGAGACCACAGGAAAAAATCCATGGTTTTCGGGAAAATTTTACATATTCACATTGATTCAGTCTGATGAAGACATTTGTTCCAAGAACAAAAAATGCATATAGGAATTAAAACTCTAAGAATTTTTAGGCAAAACCGAACACCAAGAACACCAAGAACCTAAAACCAAGAATACCAAGAACCAACACCTATATGTGTTTTCTCTCTTCTTTTTTTCTATTTTGTGAATCACACAAGCAGGTTTAACAGATGTCTGCTAAAACTGGTACAGCATTCATAATAACTTCAGGCAGTTATGAATGTTGATGCAATATACTTTTTTAATGCAAATATATTTGCATTTAAAAAACCATTCTTGCTTTCTGTCCAATTAACCCACTGTTTTATAGTAGTTCTTATGTCAGCATATCTTTTATTACTTAGATAGTTCTTGAGGGAATCATAATTCTTCATGTCAGTGTCTTACGTGTATTGCTTATACAGTGGGACACACATTCTTAGGGACAAACGTAACAGGAAGACAGGATCACTAACTGCTCTGGGCTAGTCACCTAACTTGCTAGATCACAGACTTCAAAAGCATTTGTAATATACTTTGGCAATACACAGGCCACTTCCTTGGGTTGTTAGGTCTTTGCCTATTTGTAATTATTTATTAAAGACAAATACTTTGGCAGGTTAGGGATGCTAAAGATCTCAGTTATAGACCATCAACTGTAAGAGAAATCTGCCTAGCACTACGATCAGAGAGGCAGATACAAAAAAAAGAGTGTTCGCATTTCAAAAATAAGTATATGTCCTGAAATCTTCAAAAGCCTTAGACAGGTTATTTTACCTCTTTCTTTCTTTCATGTAAAATTACATATTCCTGATACCATTTGTCATGCTGTTCTGTATCTTCTTTTGTTTTTCCACTGAGATGCTTAAGGGCTTCATCCATGTAAGATAGCCTTCCTCTATATTTTATCCCTATTTTCAGAAAATTTTGATGATCATAATCATCCCAGCCTCCTTGCCGCCCCCCTGTTCGCTGAAGAAATCTTTCAAACTCTATTATTTATTTGGGTAGATGATTTTCCAGTGTTTCATCAACTGTGATCCTGGCTGATGGTAATTTCCAAACTTTTTCTGCTGTTGAGTTCCCTAATGCCCACAGTTCCACCTTTCTCTCAAAGAGACTGAGCTCATTAATGACAGCTTTTTCCTCTTTCAAAAGCTGTTGATATCTGAAAAGAGATAAACACTGAAATGTAAGGAAAAAAAAATCCAGTATTGATTGTCCATTCACCAAAAATGAATTTTGTAATGGTTCAATGCCACACAAGACCTATTCTTCAAAGATTAAGAAGTGAAGTGGTAACAGCACAGTCATAATGTCATAATGAGCCAGTAATAAGGCCCTACACAATGAGAATTAAGTTACCCTTTTACTGAAAGAACACATTTATGGCATGCATACAATTAACTCAATCCCCTCCTGACACCAGTAGAAAGCAAAAGAAACCCCCCAAACCCGATTAGAAAACACAACAGCAACAAAAAAAACCTCCCTACAATCTAATCTCTTCTACAGCCTCTCTAAAAAGCCTATTCATAGGCAAATCGTTGTTACATTGGAATGCTGCAATAGCTGTCTAAACACCCTCTCTAAAAGGCAGTTTATCAAGATTCTAAGGCTGACAGCTTGTGCTTTGATTTACATACCACAGGAATCACTACCGAAAGAGTAAATAATAAGAACAGTTTGCTAGATTAATGCAAAGTTTTCATTGTGTTTTACAAAGGCCCCTTTTCTAGTAGCTGAAGCATATATAAACATACATTTGCCTCTGTTCCTCTTCAAAAGCATTGATTGCATTTTCAATTTCTTCCATAATTTCCTTGATCTTGCCAACAACTAAGGAAAAGAAGAAAAAAGTATATAACTTCTACAGTAAAGATAAATAATAAAGTCTATAGTATTTATCAGCACTATCCATAAATGCAGGACTTGTGGAGATTTTCAGGACACATATTTCAGTGTACAAAAAAACATGCATTTCCATCTCAAACAGCCTTAAAAGACAAACTCTGACTTATTCAAAATGTGTGTTTATGAAAGGTCTTAGCTAACTGGATGCAAATGCCAACATAAATGTTTATTTCTCTTAAAAAAGACTCACCTTGACTAATTTCAACTGATACCCAAAATAAGACAGACTTAGCCTGGAGTTCCACTTTTGTTTCTTATAGCAATGCAGTCAGTGAGTTAAGCACACTCAACTCTGGTTTATAACCATTATAGCAATCCTATTTAACCTGCAGGCAACTACTTTTACAAAGGTGAGCAAGAAACATCAGTGTAAGACTTTTTCTGTACTGCCAGCATGCTGTAGTCCTGACTTAAGATGGTAATACAGCTGTCCAGAGAAGATATATTTTGCAGTAGAAGAAAATCCACCCATTAGATTAGATGATATTATTAGACTAAAATATCTTTTAAATTAGACCAATGTCTCTGTGGACACACTGAATGTAGTTCAACTAACCTGTATTTTGGTAAAGTTATATAAACTAAATCTAATTTTTCAGCTTTTACGCCTTGTTAGTTCTTAGTATTTTAACTGACAGTTAAGTCTTATATACAGATCATGATTTTTTAAATAGATAAAACACTGAATAAATGAAATGGGATTAATTTTATCTAGCATCAGAAAACCTCAGCTAGTAGGAGGCCCTCAACCTGAGTTCCACAAAAGGTAGTAGGTATCACATGAGGATAGTTCTTTCAGAACCTATTTCTAAAATGTTTTAAAACATCCAAACTGAACAAACTGCTGCAGCATTTTCTGTGGAATATTCCAATTTACATTTCAAACCATGTCAAAGCTAGAAATTAGTTCCCTGTAGAACCTATTCTGTGACCTCTTACCAGATGAAAGGGAGTTATATAGTAGTAGAATACCAAGTTTATTTTGCATAAGGCAAATGTTACAGATAGGAAATCTGGCTTTCAACAACCTCAAGGAACAAACACACACCACTTGTAAGACCATATAAGTTTCTATTTCCACACAGAACTGCACAATCTTTTATAATTTCTTAGGTTTCTGCCATTTCTAGGTTTAGTCTTCCCTTTCCAGATTCCTGCAAAATCTTAAAGATTGGAGGAGTGTCCCAAGATTGCAGGAGAAAGACAACTATGCAAGAAACCTGTCTGTAGAGGAAAATTTTTTTAAACCTGCTATTTTACTTACACTCTGGTGTAGGCTTCACGTCTTTCAATTGCTGCTGAAGTCTCTTCACGTTGTTTTGTATTTTTGATAGCTGCTGCAGGATTTCAGCTTCTGTTAAACAAAATAAGGTGCTGATAGTTCTAACAGTCTCTTCATGCATTAAATTCAGTAAAAGAACAAGAGCAATGGAGTGTCCAAAATAAACCAGGGGTTTGATCTAAGCAGGGACATAAATTCTGTTTGATGAAAATAAACTGCCATAGTACTGAGCATTTTAACTGGTAATTGCATGTAGCTGACCGCATGGTCCATGTTAGCTCCCTACACAGCATCAGCAGATTTTAAAATTACTAGTTCCAATTTCTAAAGAGGAGCTTTGAGACTATTGCTTATGCAGGTGACAGCTTCTAGAGTTTTGAGGCAGACTTTGACCTAGGCTTCAAAACACCCATTTATGAAGAGAAAACAAACTTTGAAAGTGTATGTGAATGTACTACTTCAACAAGATTCATTTATTCATTGTGTTAAATGACAAAGAATCAATGTTTTCATGTGCTCCAAGCATGTGTGCACTTATTTGCATTTCTACCACTTGGCTCCTTGTGAGTCCATAAATACACTGCTGAAGAGGATGAAGTTCTGGCTACATCTTAGATACTAAGGAGCTGTATCTTCTATCCTAAAATATTTGGATTCAGGAAAGTACAAATTCCTGCTGAGACCCTGAATATCTTACAGCACACAGATCATGCTGAAATACCTCAACACAGTAAATGGGAATTGGTGGTGGTGGGGCGGGGTTTGTACACTTACTCTCATCACTGCCCTCTTTATCACCTCATAGCATCATTTCATCCATATGACATGCTCCCTTTCTTACGCATGTTAAAAAATTCTGAACTTCTT